ATGAACATTCCTTTGGCATCTAACGCTGAGGCCATGGCTGCAGGACTGGGCAGGAGGAGGGGACCTCTGTGAATGCTGGCTGGAGGGAGTAAAGAAAAAGTGCACGTTCGGGGCATGGCCAGGGCCCCTCCTTCCCAAAGCTGGTCCAGAACACCTCCACCCAGAACCAAGCAGACATGCAGCCAATGGCCAAGGAGGCCCAGCGGGAAGGGAGAGCAAGAAGGAGCAGTATCAGGCCAAGCTTACCAAGCCCCGCACGGAGGGGAAGGAACCAGCGGGCCTGACTCGGGGGAGAGAATGAACCAGCCCAGAGAGGGGCATCCCACAGGCTAGGCCGGGAACTCCTTCCTGAAGCCTCTGGTTGTGGGAAAACCACCGCTCTTTCCCTTTGCAAGACCTGGGTGAGAGCAGGGCAGGGGGACTGATCCGACCTGGTGGATGGCAGGTCTGGCTGCTCCAATCCCTGAGGCCCTGGCTTGTGCCCTTTTCCATTCCTCCCTCCGCTCTGTCCTGCTCAGCACGCAGCTCTGAGGTATCCACTCCGGGCAGGACATGGCCCTGGAGAGGAGGGAGCACTGGCCTGGGAAGCAGAAGCTCTGGGTCCTCGTCTAGGCTTTGCCCTTGATCAGCAGTGTGGCCTTGGGCGGGTTTCAACCCTCTCCGGGCTCCTGGGTCCTTGTGCACATAAGGAGACCACAGGCTTGCTCCCCCTTGCCGTGTGCTCAGAGGAATTAACATGCTGTGGGGGAAAAGCATGAAACTGCTTTCACTGGGAACGGTGGTGCTTTCCGATGTCTACACTACATGTGAGGTCGGGGAGGGGCAGGGAGTCTGTGGAGCTCACGGTTGCCTTCCAACATTGAGCACACCTCGCGTGCTGGGGGGTCTGCCTTAAAGGCAGGAGTGGGGGCAGCGACTTCCGGCTTCAGCCTGTCCCTCTTACCTGCTCCAGCCTTGTGATCAGAGTGGGACTCGGTCACGAGCTATGAAAGGAACCACTGGGGCAATAGTGCAATGTCTGGAGTGCAGCTCTCACTTCCTCCGTCTGCCCTGACCCCCGGGACCAACTGTTGTAACTGCCTCCCCTGTTGCCACTTGGCCTTCTTCCCGAGGAAGAGAAGTCCAGTTTCGTCTGTGCTGGCAAAGTTTAGCGCCAAGAGCTACATTTCTCACCATCCTGGCATCTGGAGTACCCATGGGACACGGTCGTGGCCAAAAAGATAAGGCAGCATTGGAACGAGACGCTGGAAAACCTCCCGCAGGTGCATCTGGCCTTTTGCCATCTGCTTTTCCTCGTTTGACTGCCTGGGAGATAGAATTGGTGCCTGGAGGTTTAGGAGCCATTTTGCAACCATGAGGACAAGACCCACATGCTAAGAATGACTGAGACGAGGCCTTTGAGTTGTCATATAACCCTGAATTGCTTACTTCTGGAAATACAACATTTCCTAATTGTGAAAGCCACTGTTTCTCCCCCGGACCCCCTGCCTCCACCCCAGGGAGAGGTTAGGGTGGGGGTAGACAAGCACAATTATAACCAATACACCCTTTCCTCCAAAAACTAACTCAGTGCTGCCTTGAACGCCTTCTAAGACCCCACAGAGGACTCATCGCTCTGCCTTGTTAGGGCCGGTGACTCGTGTGCCTTCCCTACAAGACCATTTCAGGGAAGGCAGGCCCTGCACTTCTGTGTTGGACACCAGTGCATCCCCAGAGCTGACAGTTTCTGGCAAACATCCCACATTCTGTGCTTTTCTGGAACCAACGATAAAAGAACCCTTTGAGGTCTGGTTCTAGATGCAGCTAGCCCACCTTCCACCCAGGAACCATCATCTCCGGCCAATTTGAAACCTCCGTGGACATATCTTCAAAACAGCCAGCTTCTAAAATTGGGTTTCCTAAAATATGCACAGCCACTGCGCATGAGCTCTGTAAGTAACTCTGCCGGCCTCTCCCAGAACCGCTGCCTTTTCCTAAACCCCACAGCCCATCCTGGTGACCCTGCTCTTGCCGCTACATGACCCAGCAGGCAGGTTCTGGTGCCAAAAAGGGGCACATCTCACATCACAGGGTGGGCTTGTTGGAGAAGACATCAGTGTGTACAGGGAAGCATTCGCAGGCCTCCTTGTCAGGTGCTTTTCCTGTCTGAAGCATCTCGGTTATATTTAGGAAGTAAAATTACTCTCTCTATGAGTTCTGGAAGGTTCTCAGTCTCCTCCTCCTCCTCTTTCCTTTATGGTGACTTTCTCTTCCAAACCTGCTGTTTTCGCTCTGCCCCTAAAACATTCACGCTTTTTCTATATCCAAGTGATCGAATAGCATAGCCAACTATATAACTACTTCATTTGCCTTCCTTTTGAACAGCATGGCGAGTCTATATGTTATTGATGAGAATGCAAAGTCCATATGTATCCAACAAACTTGGGGTTCGTTTGTTCCAATGTTTGTTGACAGTCACTTGGAAAAAATCACATCTAATGGATCAGGGGGAGCTCAGTTTCTCTTTGTGGGTTCATACCTTCCCCTGCAGTTGGGCAGGGCCACGGGACCTGAGATCCGAACTGTGTCTCCTCATCCACCAGCTGAGTGGGGAAGACTCTGAGGACCTAGGGGAGCATGGATGGAGCCACAAGGTGGACGGAACTAGGTCCTCTTGAGTGGCTGCGTGCAGCTGAGACCTGCAGGTCTGCACTGGGCTCGTACGGAGCAAGAAAGAGGTGCTATGGCACCAAACCAGTGCTTGGACATTTATCTGTTAGAGCATCTGGCAGTGTTTGCATATTACTCCTTATGTATCCACAGCACTTTCTTTAGCGCCTCTATTCTAAAAGGCGGTCCGTTTGCTTTGCATGAGAGCTGCTTACCTCCACGCCTGTACCATGACTATACCAAATGCCAATGTTTAGGTCCACGGTTCTCAACCTCGCTGCTCAACAGAAAGTGATCGGGGAGTTTTAAAAAAGTCCCACTGCTTGGGTCTCAACCCCAGAGACTGTGATTCAATGGATTGGTGGTGAGACCCAACTTTTGCTACTTGGAAAGAGCACCCCAGGCAGTTCTAAGGGCAGCCAGAGTTCGGAGCCACCGTTCCAGATCAGGGGTTCTCAGAACACGCGAGAGACTTGTGCAGACACAAATTTCTGGGACCCACCCCCAGAGTTTCTGATTCAGGAGGTTTGTGGTATAGCTTGAAATTTTCATGTCTAATAATTTCCCCAAGTGAGGCTGATGCGAATGGTTCAGGGACCATATCCAGAGGACCACTGGGCCGCACTGGTACCTCCCCCTCAGTAACAATAACAATCACGGGCGGCATACTGAGAAACACTAGCCACTCAATGACTGAGGGTATTACTGAATTGAAATGAAGACACACCGGCTTTAATACTTGATAAAATGTTCAGGCTCTGTTTTGTGACCGGCTGTCACAGAGGCGGTGTGCACCCTGAGCAGCGAGAGTCACCCCACCAAGCTCCTTCCCAGGAAACCACACTCAGCATCAACCTGCCAGACCTTAGTCCTGTGTCTGTGAGCATCTGGGCTTTCCCTCCATTTATTTTGTGCATCTGTTAGCAAGATGTGGCCCTAAGGTAGGAGAAAGCCTGAGAGAGATGAAAGAGAGAGGTATTAACCCTTAGCATAAAACTGGATACAATTCAGCATACCTGGTATGGTTTGGTAGGTTATCTTGGGGGTCTGGGAACACTCAAAGACTTTTCCATGTGAGTCCATGGTGATTGCTTCCTCCCTTCACATCATCTCAGCTTATAAAAGGTTTCATAGGACCCCTCTGCTTTTGAATAGCAGGGGGAACCTGTATTCATCTCTGCTGTCTACACAAAGGCAGCCATAGGCAATATGCAAATGAAAGGAGGTGAACAGATTTGACTGCTGACCATAATTTGCCACGCCCTGGGATTGGACAGGCTGGGGGCCAGGAGGGGGCTGGGGGGAGGGGGGATGTCAAACAAAGCACCCTGGGGACCTGGATGATGAGCAAGGGCCAATTGTAGGCCTGGGAGAAGAGCACTCCCAGTGGAACAGTTTGTACTTGAACAAGCCCTGGGGCCCTGGGTAAGGGATGCAGCACCTTGCAGGACCAGATGGAGGCTGGGGCACCTGGACTGTGTTACACAAGAGTGAGAGAAGTGCCAGAACCGGTTTGGCTCAGTGGATAGAGCGTCGGCCTGCAGACTGAAGGGTCCCAGATTCGATTCCCGTCAAGGGCATGTACCTTGGTTGTGGGCACATCCCCAGTGGGGGGCATGCAGGAGGCAGCTGATCGATGTTTCTCTCTCATCGATGTTTCTAACTCTCTATCCCTCTCCCTTCCTCCTTGTAGAAAATCAATAAAACATATTTTTAAAAAAAAGAGTGAGAGAAGTATGACTGATGTCACTGAGAGAGGCTGCGTCTGAGTCTGGAGTTTGTCTAAGTATGGCAGGAAGCCGCTGGAGGGTTCTAAGCAGAATGGTGGTCTGAGAGGCCTGTTCCTCGTCTGAGAGAGGAAATAAAATACAATTTCCCTATTTACAGAGCACCTGGTCAGTGCTTAGCCCATGGAAGTTACTAATAACGTCTTGTGTGTCCTTGACAAGGCACTGTGTCTCCAGAGCAGTGGTTCTCAACCTTCCTAATGCCGCGACCCTTTAATACAGTTCCTCATGTTGTGGTGACCCCCAACCATAAAATTATTTTCATTGCTACTTCATAACTGTAATTTTGCTACTGTTATGCATCATAATGTAAATATCTGATATGCAGGATGTATTTTCATTGTTCACGACCCACAGGTTGAGAACCGCTGCTCCAGAGGGTCATCAAATCCAGGCACAGAAGGGACGATAGCAACCAGCTCTCACCTCTCCCATTACTTTAAAGACACATGTACTGAAACCCAGAGAGGTTAAATGTTTTGCCTCAGGGTCACTCAGCTAGTCAGCAGCAGAGCTGGGACTGGACCCCTAAAGAGAGAGAGAATGTCAGCAGAGAAGCTTGGCCTGATACCAAAGCATTTATTGTGGGAAGGGCAGGATGATGCTGGGTCCAGTGTGGTGATGTCACTTGGCTATCTCAGTGAGCCCAGCCCCATCTGGTCTCAGTGCCAGAGTTCTGGGGAGAGACAGGCTGTGAGAAAAACCTGAGCAGCACAGATCTGCAGGCGTGGATGGAGCGGAGTGGTGGCCTGCAACGCATGGGCGAAGTCTTGGGTGTGAGCCTTCTCCCAGGGGCTGTTGGCTGAAGACTCGTGGACATGGGACTCCCCCTAGAAGAGGCCAGAGGTGGCCATGAGGACAGTGGCAGACACCGAGTGGAAATGACAAGGGCTGTTTTATGAGTGCATTTGAAATACCCCCAAGCAAGCTCAGAAATCCTTGAGTGACACTTTGAGAAGGGCTGGGGTATGTAACAGGAGGTGAGACCAGTGAACTACGACCATTTGCCAACCGGCCTGACAGTCTCAGGAAACACAGGTCACATTTTAAATTCATGCGAGAATACACAAATCCTTATCTTTGTCCATTCAGCAAATACAACACCACCACCTTAAATATCTACAGGCTCTTCCAAAACATTGGTTATTCTTGGAGCTAGTGCACACAGTATTAAAGACCCAGACCCGTGCGAAACCAAGCTTTGGCCATGAGCGCACTGGTCCGGGCAGGACGGTGACAGGTGGAAGGGTCACGCCTTTCATGTGGAACACAGCAGGCTGGGCGGCAGGAGGGTCATGAGCAGGGTCTTGAAGTCAGATCTCAGGAGACTCCTCCCAAAGTAGAGAAGTGGGGTCTCACCGGATTAAGACCCTGCCTGCCAATTCTCAGTTATGACTTCCTCTCCTTCCTGGACGAGGGCCCCCAGTCCTGCCTTTTGCACAGCAAAGCCACCTTTCTATTTTTAGGTGGAAAAACCTGCTATGCAATGTACTTTCCAATTTTAGGGCTCTTTCCTGGGCTCTATTTCCAGTGACCGACTGGAAAAAAGTGTACATATTTGAAATCTGGCCAGTGGTTTGAGACTCCACTCCCCGGAGAGGGTTTGTAAGAGGCAACTGGTTCCAGACAATGACAGGGCCATGCTTTTAGGAGAAGGTCAGTCTGCGTCTTGCAGAGAAGATGTTAGCCTCCATGGCGCCAACTCTGCTACCTTCCGCCACAGGAAAATTTGAATCATGTTTTGTTTCTCTCAAAGGTGGAACTATGGCCTGTGGGGATTTCTGCTAATGAAGCTGATGAAACTTTAGGCCGAATAAGTAAGAAAAGTCCAAGTTTCAAGAAAAGAACTTGCCAGCCCTTTCATGAGGTTCTCCCAATGGGTTCCATTCCCAACAGGAAATACGGATGTTGATAGAGGAGGGGCTTGATGCTTTACAGTAAACGAAACTAGACATGGGATGGGCTGAATGGGCTCTGAGTTACCTTCACTAAACAGGATCCAAGCCTGCATGGGAAAGGGTGGATGGAAGAAAGCCATGGAAACCAACATCAAGTGAAATACAGGCAATAATCTTCACTGGTGACTCTGAGGCAGTTAAGAGGGGAGGGGTCAGACCCATTGGCCCAATTAGACAGTTACGTAGCTGGCATTATTCAGACTGTCTGGGTCATGCCTCCACTCCTAGGGGATGGAAACTGGGATCGTTCTGGGAATGATGACTCACCTCTCTACAGATATGGAAATTGGGGATGCTCAGAGAGACTGTGGGACTCGCCCAAGAAAATGCAGGTGGAAGGCAACAGAGACAAGTGTTGAAGCTGAGCCATCGCCAACAGATTCTGGGCTTTCTCCACTCTCGCACAATGGGGCAGGTGCTCTGTTCTTCGTCTTGTTTTCCTGCAGAGGAAAGCAAATGGAAACCCAGAAAACAAACCAGAGGGTGTCATTCCTAGTTCCCTATCCCAATGATCCTTCTCTCGAACCTGTCACCGCCACCCTGTCCATGCCGGGTGACCGAATCATTGTGGCCCAGAGGGACAGTCTGGCAGGTGTGGCTCTGCTTGGGCCTATGGTGTTGAGATCCTGCCCCTGGAGAGCAGGTGCTGTCACAGCTGAGTGTAAACAGCCCTTGGCCAGAGCACTTTGGCTTCCAGGATGCTGTTGGCTTTGGCCTGAGCAGCTCCGGTTCCTCCTCCCCTGCCCGTCCCTCTCATTATGCAGTGTCAGTGGCCCGGCCTCACATACACACTGGGCTTTGTTGCAGAGACGCATGCCAAAAGGGGCCTGGAAATGGGAGTTGAGCTCCTGAGAAAATAGCACCTTTTTTTGGAAACACGAGCACCGCCACATGGTGTGTGTCCACAGGGCAGGGTGAGGCAGGGCTGGAGAAGAGAGGGGAGATCCATGTCTACGGGAGGATGTGGGGGACTGTGCCCAGAGCTTCAGGCCCAGAGCCTGGTACTGCTTATAGGTATAAAGAAGAGGCAGAAAGGGGAGGTAGTATGGGGGATACTCCAAAAGGGTCCAGAGTTCCATTGCTAGTAATTATGGCCATCATTTGTTGAGTACTTACTCTATGCCAGACTCCCTGTTGAGCCCTTTACATATGCATTCTACTTTCACAAAAACCCTGAGTGGTAGGTCCTATTATTATCCCTGTTTTTCAGATGAAGACCCTGAGTGTGAAGGCATTTGCCCAAATTCACAGCAGTAGAGAATGGCAGAGATTTGAGAAAAGATCTCGCAGATGACAAAATCCATATTCGACTAAGTACTTAATTAAGAACTCAGCCTTTGAGTTCTAGATGGCTCCCAAAACCAACAGACTTCAGGAACAGGGTAGCACAGTGCATTTTAAATCTTTGCCACCCCACAGTTAGTTGTCTGAATATCGTGCATCTAAATCCAGGCTGAGCTCCTCAGCGGGGCTACTGAACAGGGTTCATTAAATGTTGACTAGGAGCTCCGCCCACGACTGTCCAGTCCTGCAGACTTGCCAAGGCTGTCAACAGATTAACCACATTCAGACTAGATAAATACAAGGCACCTGACTGGGTGCACTTCCTCAATTTTGTTGCCCGTGTAATGTCAAGTCAGTATGGGCTGGTCCTAGTTCAGTGCTTATTTTCAAGGCTGGGTTAGAGTCTCCCACACCCCCAAATCCTATATTCTTCTAAAAAGGCGGAGCTTTTTTGGTCACGGCCCATGGGTTTCTCCTCCACACTCAACTCCACCCACCTCCGTTTTGAACTTATAGGGGAGGAGCAGAAATAGATACAGAGACAAGATCATGCTCCTTTGTTTCTCAAAAAGAGGTTAATGCTAACTCAGAACCACCTTTTTCAGCATCATTTCGGTCCTTTGTCACTTAGCCTCAGCAGGAAGAGGCAGTGGGAAATGGATGGTACATATAGTACCTGGAAGTGGCCTAGTTCATGGGGCTACAACCAAATGTTACTGAGGAGCTAGGACATAAAACTAGGCCACCAAGAATGCAAATAGGTGGCCAAAGCAGACATCACTAGTCAATCACAGCACTCCTCTGAATCAGGATGTGACCTATCAAATGCTCCTCAAGGGAGTGCTCTAGGCAGCCATTACCAATCTAGCAGAGTAAATAAGCTAAAACCTATTTTTAATGTGAACCAGTCTGTGGACACCTCATGGGCAGGGATCCTACCTTATGAAAGCTTTTGTCTCCCCTCAATGTAATCTAATGCAATGTCATCCCCTCAATGTTTGGTGAATGCATAAATGAATGTAGCTATTTAGACAGACGTGAAAAAAGTCCAGCACCTCAGTCAAAGCCAGAGCAAAGAGAGGGCATCCCAAAGTTGGAGAGCTTGTACCCCAGCGTCCTACAGAGCTGTTAGAGAAATAATCCTTTCTACCTGTGTCTTCCCTCAATTAAAATATTCTCTGGTGGTGAGTGAGCTTTGGCCTTGGTCAGTCTGCCAGGTTTTCCTCAAGGACCTCAGCAGATGAAACAAAAATGAAGGACTTCCCTAGATTGCCTTTAAGGTCCCCAATCACTCTTCTGAAAGTATACTTTGTATCCACATGCACAGACAGTTGGCTTCCTGTCCTTTGCCTTCTCCTGGCTCCACTACCAAGCTGGGCTAGCTCAAGCCGGGCACCCCTCCACTTGCTTAGAGTTCCACAGCAGCTGTCATCATCTGGTGGTTTTGATGCTGTAGGTGTCAAGAGTGGGAGTGAGGGCTCATTTTTGCTGCTTCCAGAAACTCACTTCCTATTTGGTTCCAGCTGCAACTCTTCAGGCAAAACAAGTTCTGCATGTAGGGAAACATTCAGAAAGCTCGGACTGATGATGTCTGTGAAAGTGTAACTCCCTTCACTCCCATCATGGGCGAGCTCAGTCCTGTTAGAGAGCTGATCATTCTCATGGGCTGTGCTAGAAGGCCCTGCAAAGATTACTGAATGTAGCAAGATTGCAAATTGGCAATCACAATTTGGGGATCTCAATTGGAGAGATCTGGGGGGAAAAATCAGTTCTTTTGCAGGCTTTTCGCTTTTTGGTGAGGTTCCTGCTTCAGTTATGAGCAGCGGGGTTCTTCAGCCCAGCTCCTTGGTTGAGAAGACACATGACAAACCCTATTCCTTATATCCTGTACCCATGAAAAAACTCCAAACCAGTTCCGGTAACCTTTCCCATTCATCCTGGATGTCAACTCACACCCCTTCTCTAAGCAACACTCCAGGCACTCATTCCTATTGCTCAGAGCTGGCAACTGAAGTGAAAAAGATTTACTATCGATGGACCAAGGATTCCAAAGTAGAAATGAATGAAATGGGTTGAATAGTGACCACCCCTCCCCCAATTCATACACTGAAGTCCAACCCTTTGGATTGGGACCTGTGGGAACCATGCCAGGTCCCCAGATAGTCAAGGCCAGTGGGAGCACAAAGGCCTTGTTATCAATACATCAGTATGACCAAAGGCTGCTCTGGGCATGTGCCTAGACGGAATGTTCAAGGACTCTGAGCCTTGAAATTCTAATCAGGCCAAGATACCATGAGCGTGTGCAAGGACACACGGTACACTGTGCTCATCCATAGCAAATATGATTGGTGTCACTGTTGGCATGAAGCCTTCTTTGTCTAAATGGTGTAAAAGTAGGTTACTGACCAGCTAGTTAGCTGGAGTAGGCTGAGGTGGGAGTGAGAAGAAGTCTGCAGGAGTATGGAGAGAGGGTAGCTGGGATGGAGTGTGGGAAGAAGTCTACTAGAGAGAGCAGCTGGGCAGGAAAGACAGGAGAAACCGCTGAGCCGGAGAGCTCAGGTACCACTACGATGTGAGGCGGTGAGTCTAGGAGGCAGCGTGCGGCTGCTCAGATAATAGCTGTGGGGACAGAGACTGCTGCTGTTTTATGGGAAAGATACATACAAGTGGCCAGTGGCCGGCTGCCTGCCTGTATGGACTTTGCTGTGAAGACTGTTCTTGTCTGATGGCTATATGGCCACTGGCTTCTGCAATAAAGACTCATTCTTATATATCCCTACAACTTCTCCATCTCCTTCTCCATCTCCCAAGACCCTCTGCCAAGCTCTGCCCAGAGCCAGTCAGACCAGCAGAGCTGTGTGGTGCTCTTGCTGCTGGCTCTGACACTTGGCATAGTCGGCAGGATGGGAAACTGAGGCACAAGGATCCGAAAGATGTGCAGGTTCGAGCAGAGGACTCAGGAGCAGTGAGTCCCAATGCTCGGCCTCATGACAGGACTTTGGGGGTAAGTGCCCGTCGGGAGGTCATTTTGACTGTGACACCCTGAGGGACTTGGAAGCAGATCCCCAGAGCACTGCTTGGAGCAGGTGTGGCTTGGGAGAAACTGAACTTCCAGGAGCCGGGTGGAGGAGAGACGGAGCTGAAGTCCGCAGCCGTCCTGGTGATGTAGAGCTGGTTGCCAGCCAGACCAGGAACTGAGCCCCCGGGGAACCAGGTGAAAGAAGGCGGAGGGGCTGGGTGCCTGAGCGGCCTGCAGCCACCTGGAGAAGCAGAAGCAGCAGCGAGCGACAAAGTGGGGGATGCCAGGCAGCGAGCTGACACCCAAGCTGCCCAGTGAGTTAGGAGTGTTTTACAACACACAATAACAGACTTAAGCATTGGACTTGCTGGTTCAAGGGAGTCAAGCAACGGGCCCTGGGATCTGTGAGAGTGGCCGGGGATGAAGCTGGGAAAGTTTCCCATTTGCAACTGTGCTAAAAGGGTTAAGACTTCAGCAGCAGCTACTGGTGCAGCAAGGAGTTAATAGGAGAGAGGACACTCCTTTGAGTTGGAGGGCTCAGGACTTTGAACTCTCCCAGAGAAGTGGAGAGAATTAACCTCTTAGACCAGTGGTTCTCAACCTTCCTAATGCCACGACCCTTTAATACAGTTCCTCATGTTGTGGTGACCCCCAACCATAAAATTACTTTCATTGCTACTTCATAACTGTAATTCTGCTACTGTTATGCATCGTAATGTAAATGTCTGATATGCAGGATGTATTTTCATTGTTACAAATTGAACATAATTAAAGCATAGTGATTAATCACAAAAACAATATGTAATTATATAAGTGTTTTCCGATGGTCTTAGGCGACCCCTGTGAAAGGGTCGTTCGACCTTCAAAGGGGTCTCGACCCACAGGTTGAGAACCGCTGTCTTAGACCAAAGGGTGGGCCAAGACACCTGGTTAGGGGGGCTAGATGCCCCATTCCTACGAGGGACCGCAGGAGAGGCCGCAGTCGCTGCCAGGAAGGAGGACAGGCAGCATGGTAGGGCCTGAAGCCCAAGCCACCACTGCAGGAGCGCTTTGCTATGTGCAAACTGTCTCTCCCTGCAGCCCTGGCTGTGTTTGGCTCCCCACTAGGAGCCAAGCAGTGGTG